ACTCTAAAGTTCTGCAGGACGCACTGTCAGAAATGCATTCTCTCTCAGTCCATTTTACATTATCATTCTATGTAATGCATGTATCATTAACGTGGCTAAATGCTAATCTTTGATTCTGTCATTTTAATCTGTTGAAAGCCATGCTAAAGTGGCTTTAAAAAACAGAGCTTTGCGTAAGATCTCAGGGTCAGATGGTGCTGCTAATTATATTTTAGCATATAATATATAGTATAATGTAAAATAGTGAATAAAGCAAACCTTACATATGTGGAGGTGGTTTTTTTCATGACTGTCAATTTTTAATATAACTAAAAATTAACAATTTTCGCAATTTTCACGGTTGTATCTACTCTGTCTTTGCGATATAGGGGTTTACTAAGAACGTCGCGAAGGATGTTGTGCAGGCCAGCGAACTTCTAAAATTCAAGGTCATAAATTGACTAACTTTTGTGAAGTTACGGAAAAGTTTCCAAGCTATTAATTTAACGTAGAAGAACAAATGATCGTTCATTATACTTCGTCAGGTTCAAGTATTACGAGGACGGAACTGCTACAACATCAGTCAGTTCATGGAATTCGTATGCAAGCGGCTTGAGCCATGTTTTAAATGACGGCTATTGCAGTTCTCTGCGAACCCTATTCCGGCTGCCCTACGGATCTGACAAGTACAGAAGAGCACTAACTATGTTTCCTTGGCAGATAAAATTCGCCAGACAAGTGAATCTTTATTCGTGGTTCCGAGTAGCGCTGAATCAAGCATTTCAAAATAAGATATGAGTTGGCTGCTGGTGTATGTGAGTATGCACTTGGTATGCAGGGCATGCAAGCATCAGTATGCAATATAAATCTATTCTGGGATGCGGACTACATCAAAAAAATTCATTGACAGTCCATCAAAAAAGAGATCCATTCGTTGTATCGGCGTTAGAAACCGAAGCGCCGAAAGAGGAATTTTACTTGACCTGGCGATTCCCACGCTAGGATGATACGTAGATTTCAGTACATAGTTTTTTTTTATCGAGTCATTGCTTTAACAGCCAACCGGCGAAGTGCGGTTTTCCAATAAAGAGCATCTAGGCAAAGCTGTTTTCGGATACATGGAACACAAACAGACATATAGACGGGTGGGAGAAGGACGAGCCGATGCTCGAATACAGCTAGAATCGGGAGGAAATATTCTCGAATTTCGCATATCCGTAATATACTCTTAACGCAAACCTTAGTTTAGAAAGTATAAACATGGGAGTGCGACACAACTTTCTGTCATATGTGAATGGATTTTCTTTGCGTTGGTGTTTTGCAATTTATGTACAGTAATGTTACAGTGTACATGTCTCACTTAATTAAACAAAACTGAATGTAAATGAAAATTTATTCAGTTTTGCCAACATATGCGTAAATAACATCAATCACAAGCGATGGCAATAGTTAGTAAAACCAACGTATGTAAGGCACCAATATCAAGTTTCACGAGTTATATTTACAATTTCAAAATGCAAGTCTGATGAAAATTGCACTCACAAGCCCGACGCAGAGAACGAATCAGCTTAAGAATGCTTACAAAAGAAGCACTGAAAAACGAAAGACTTTGAAGGATTGTGCGAACAGCGAACAGCCGGATGATAAGTACATGTAATATGATATACTAACGATGAGAAGCATCGCATTCGAAAAATAAACTGCGTAAACAAGGAAATATCATGAGAAAAACTATAAACGAGAAGTTATCGCAAAAAAAGATTGGGAAAGAGCTGAAAAAAATACAATGCCATAATGTCGTAAGAAAAAACATACGGCTTTAAGTCGGAGCAAAGCAGAACGCATAGCAAGGAGTACGATTTATAGATGAGGTGGAACTCCCTACAGTTAAGAACAACAGAGTCGAAAAACTCTCGACCCTCGACGGGTTGACAAGCGTATCAAACAAGGACCAAAAGAAAACAAATATGGCAAGAAATGCCAAGAGACCAGAACAAGACAGGGCAAAATGCGCAACAGATATAAAATGGAATTTTTTGGCGAAAACCCGAAAATGGACAGGGACAATAGAAGCAGGACACAACTTACAAACGTGGAAAAATTAACAAAAAGGTTGAGAAAAAAAGAGGTCATGACAAAATAGAGTCTGGATGTCAAAAAAGAAATTAACTAACGGCTAACTGAAAGATCTATGAGATAAAGTAGCAAAGCAGTACCACGCGCGTAGCAATAGGGTGGCAACGGATTTCAAGTGAAACGCAGAATACAAGTAGGAGAGAACAGAACGATCAGATGACGCCTGACATGTCAGATATTCGCATTAAACAACAATGAAAAAATGAGAGAGCATAAAAAATGAAAAGAACGTACGTAGGATAATTAATTAACTGAAGGAAAGAACTGACTAAAGAGAACTCAAAGCAAAACTTACGGAAATCAACGAAAAAAATTTACAAACTAACACACCGTACGGAGTAAAAGAATATCACGGCAATGATACTTTATAGTCTGAGTGTAAACGAGAATCAGACAGAACAAAAGCATAAGGTACAACGTGTGAAAAACAAGCAACCGCTTACGGAGAAGAACAGAATATGCGTAACAGTAGGCGGCAATAGCAAAGACAGAGGACAAGCAAAGGAAAACAAGTGCAAAATTGTGGAACAAGGGAAACTCAGGGTTAAACACAAACCAAAAATGAAGGAACAATCGAGCAACGCACACTAAATACGAATGTAAATTGCTTTCCACGAGTAACAGCACTTTTGCAACGTGTAATGCTGATAGGACGGACTCCATTGAATAGGCATTGAGGCTGAGCGATACTGATGCCATGAAGTTTATTTATTCGTTAATTTGTTTTCCGCCATTTGTTATTGACAAAAGTGGATGGAGTAACTTCGCTGAGAATTAGCACTGACTTTCGCTCGTCATGGCCATTTGCATTAAGGGTAACGAAACGCA